TATATCGGAGATGAACAAGACATCGTCAATTTCATTAAGATTCAATATTGCATTCCACCTCAGTTTCAAAGGAGAGAGAGCTATAATTGCTTTTTCTTTGAATCCCAGAATAGAGCTCTTAGCTCTATTTTTCTAGATAACTCTGGAGAAGCCCCCCCTCCTTTTGAAAGCCTTCCTGGGATGTATATATAGTTGAAACCTCTTGATCCCTACCGTGATTTGGTACGCTTGGGTCAGTGGTGCGTTCTGGTCGTGACTCTAGGCATTGCTCTTTTCGATGTGTCGGATATCTTGGAGGAGAAATGAAGTGGACCCTATTGACTTCCACTACCCGATTGCTAAAAAGGGGTCGTGGGTAACCTGGTCGTGACGGTCAAATTTTGACCAATACAATTTCTATATCAATTGTCTCGGTTGAAAAAGTTTTTCAAAACTAAATCAATAAAATTCGATATGATAACACAAGAGAGATTAAACAAATTGATTAGACATTGACAATAATTAAAACTGAGTATAACTTCTTTAAATTTCAATAAATTATAAGAATAAAAAAATTAAAATATTTAAGGCCTTATTTTTTATATTCGCCTTAGGCCTCGTATTATGTCGAGCCGCCCCTGGTTCAAGGAATACGAGTGGAGAAAAAACTATATGGTTACTACACGTCAAAGATATGATTAATCAGGAAACTCATTAACTAAGATATAACCATAGTTAAGTTGCAAAGTCTATAAACAATTATATATCATGCATCAATTAGCTTGATGTAAACATCAAATGAGGATAAGTTTTCGGTTTTTATCGTTGAATTGATATCTTGAATCTTTCACGCAACACTCCAATGATTTTCATTTGCTTTTTTTTTTCTTTAAGTCTTTCCACTAATAGATGTTAAACGAAATATATCAGCGACAATGTTAATCTTTTTTTACATTATTAATATATTTTACAGATTATATCCCATGTTTAATTTGGAGGTTAGTTTCAATGTGTACTATGGGAAAATCATGTGATACTGACTGAACATAAAAGTCAATAGAGATAGCTTTTACACCAAGTAAATAGATGAATATACATTAGTTAAAATCATATTTATTTTATGAGTTAAAAGTTATATATATTTGTGGTGTAAAATTTAACCTAGCATGCGTTAAAAATAAATAACTTCTTACAATTTGGATATCCGAGTTTATAGTGCCAAAGTTATACTAACTAGTAAACAGATATATAGATATAGACCAAACAATAAAACTAAACATAAAAACAATAACTAATTAATCATATACTTATTATTTTCCCACAATGTTTGTTTCTCGTCAATTACTACTTCTCGTTCATCTCGTTCTATTTGGTGAGGTAACCCCAGGAAAGCCAAGTACTGTAATTGGTAATATTAATTCTCTACATGACCGTTGAAGTATACACAACTCATATCCTATATATAGCATACTATATCTCTTATAATCCAGGCACCTTTGAAATCATTGTTCATGTTTGCAGACACCTTTTAAATCATTGTTCATGTTTCCAGAGTCCATTTGGAACATTTGTAATCATATACTCATGAAATATTCATCCAAAAGAATTTCTTCTAGCCCGTAGATCGACATTCCCTATTACATACTTAGGGTTTAGAATAAGTTACCATGTCTCCATCATCGTTTTCTTTGTCTCGAACTTTGTTAATGCACTGTGTAGTCGATTTACATATGAGCTTTTGATAGTATTCTCTGCACGCTTACATCGCCACCATGCAGTATCTGTTAGCCTCATAAACGTAACATCTTATTGCTTATCTCTGCCTACTTTTACCTCCTTCACATATGCATTTCTTCTTCGTCCAGTATTAGAAAATAGTCAGCTTAGTATTTTTTTTATAAATAAAGTTACGCCATAGGTGGCGCATTCCTTTCATTCATCCAAAAATCAGTTACAACAAAGAGATGGATCAACTATACTAGTTTACCTCCTTATGTGAATTTTCTCTATAAAAAGGTTACAAAAACTTACAAAACCTGCTAAGTATTAGCAACATGTAACTTAACAAAAAGAGGACATCCTATCATAAAAACAGTTTTTCCTATGCTTATGTGCCATTTGCATCAAATCCAACATGTATGTCTTAGAGAGGCCATGCCAGTCGGCATCCCGAACGGTACTGGTTGTGTCCGTACCATTTTATCTTTTATCGTCAGGACCATCAAATCATTTTGCTGTAGACAACCACATTACTCAATTAATATACTTAGTTGATTTCGTATACTACATCTTTGCATTTATTTTCTTTGATGTTTCTTTTACCACGTATTGGCTTATAGGACTCTAACTTCACCTTCCATTCAGATGTATTTTGATTATTGCTTTTCATGGGGGGTTTTGTAGTGTGATTTTTCAATAATCTGGTTGTTCCTTCTCAAACATATTATTCTGATATCCTGATACATTTATTGTATCTACTCGTCCCTCCAAGCTTTTTGCTTGCTTGTACAATATTGAAGGAGCAAGTTGATATGGGCATATTGCCAGCTTTAATAGTGCGAATCTATGAGAGGAAGAAGCTTATGGAATTTGTCATGGGATCGATGCGGTCTATTACTTTTCCGTTTAGCTTCAGATTCACTTCTACTGCTCAGACTGTCACCTAATTATTCTGGGTGGCGGCTTGGATTGGTAATGTGGCGATGGTTCATCCAACCACCGATTTTGGAGTCCTAAACTTTTTGCTCGTTGATGCATCGTTGAGCTGTGCTATGATTGTTTTCCAGCTGTGTGTGTATACTTGGTTTGTGTTCGCGGCGTGTTTCTTGCTCTACATTCTGCATTGGAAATTAGATGCATTAACTCCTAGATACGAACAACTATTTAGTACTTGATTTAGTATCTACTTAAGAAGAAAAAAATTCTGGTGAAAGTTGCGTGAAAGATTGTACATAGACATTTAACACTTTATCCTGGTTAATTAACATACATCCTCACTCATTTAATCACCAATGCCTCCTCTTCTCTCCAACTTTGTGTTCCCTATTTTAACAGTACAAGTTAATTAATGAAGATGACAGTGTAACCAGGGCGGCAATGGAATTAGTGGCATGAAGTAAAACCTTAATAAATGGTCTCAAATATATTTAATAAAACTAGCTTTTGTGTACGCCGTACGTGGATATCTCGTGCATCTTGTGTCAATTGGTAAAAAAAAAATTAATTTCCTCCTCCCCCCCCCC